TTGTTCTGTCCCGCGCTGGGCCAGCTGGTCCGCTACTCCATCCCGGAGGAGCTGGACCGCGGCTCTGTGGTGGGGAACCTCGCCAAGGATCTGGGGCTCGGTGTTCTGGAAGTGTCGTCTCGGAAGCTGAGGGTTAGCGCTGAGAAGCTGCACTTCAGCGTGGACGCGGAGAGAGGGGACTTACTGGTGAAGGACCGCATAGACCGCGAGCAGATATGCAGAGAGAGGAGAAGGTGTGAGCTGCAGTTAGAAGCTGTACTGGAAAACCCCTTGAATATTTTTCATGTCGTGGTAGAGATTGAGGATGTTAACGACCATGCTCCTCAATTCGAGAAGAAAGAGATGCATTTAGAAATTCTAGAATCTGTGTCGGTTGGTACACGAATACCCCTTGAGCCTGCCACTGACCCCGACATAAATTTGAACTCAATTAAAGATTACCAGATAAGCTCCAACCCTTATTTCTCATTAATGGTTAGAGTTAATCCTGATGGCGGAACAACACCAGAGCTGTCTCTAGAGAAACTCCTAGACAGGGAAGAACAGAGGTCTCATCGCTTGATACTGACTGCCTTGGATGGAGGGGACCCGCCTCGCAGCGCTACCACTCAAATAGAAATATATGTAAAAGACATCAATGACAACCCTCCAGTGTTCAGCAAAGAGGAATATAGGATCAGCGTTAGAGAAAATCTGCCCCCAGGATCCTCCGTGTTGCAAGTGACAGCCACTGATGAGGATGAGGGTACCAATGCTGAGATAAATTACTACTTTCGGAGCACTGCCCAGAGCACAAGACACGTGTTCTCTCTAGATGAGAAGGCCGGTATGATTAAGAATAACCAGCCATTGGATTTTGAAGATGTAGAAAGATATACCATGGAAGTGGAAGCGAAGGATGGAGGCGGTCTCTCCTCACAGTGTAAGATCATCATAGAAGTCCTAGATGAAAACGACAACAGCCCAGAAATTATCATTACCTCTCTTTCTGAACGTATCTTGGAGAATTCTCCTCCAGGAGTGGTGGTTGCCATCTTCAAAACCCGAGATCGGGATTTTGGAGGCAACGGAGAAGTGAAGTGTGACATAGGCAAAGGTCTGCCTTTCAAGATCCATGCTTCTTCTAGCAACTACTACAAGTTAGTAACAGATGGAGCCATAGACCGAGAACAAAACCCACAGTATAATGTCACCGTAACCGCCACGGACAGGGGCAAGCCACCCCTTTCTTCTAGTACAACCATCACTCTTCACATCACTGATGTAAACGATAACGCTCCGGCTTTCCAGAAGGCGTCTTACATAGTCCACGTCTCGGAGAACAACCCACCAGGAGCCTCCATCGCTCAAGTCAGCGCCTCTGACCCGGATTTGGGATCCAATGGTCACATCTCCTACTCCATCATAGCCAGCGACCTGGAACCTAAATCGCTGTGGTCCTACGTGACTGTAAACGCACAGAGCGGAGTGGTGTTCGCTCAGCGCGCCTTCGACCACGAGCAGCTGCGCTCCTTCCAGCTCACACTGCAGGCGCGCGATCAGGGCTCGCCCGCGCTCAGCGCCAACGTGAGCATGCGCGTGCTGGTGGGCGACCGCAACGACAACGCGCCACGCGTGCTGTACCCCACGCTGGAGCCCGACGGCTCCGCGCTCTTCGACATGGTGCCACGCGCCGCCGAGCCCGGATACCTGGTCACCAAAGTGGTGGCGGTGGACGCAGACTCTGGACATAATGCCTGGCTGTCGTACCACGTGCTGCAGGCCAGCGATCCCGGGCTCTTCAGCCTGGGGCTGCGCACTGGCGAGGTGCGCACAGCGCGTGCCTTGGGTGACAAGGACGCAGCGCGGCAGCGCCTGTTGGTTGGTGTGCGCGATGGTGGACAACCGCCACTCTCAGCCACTGCCACGCTGCTTCTAGTATTCGCTGACAGCCTGCAGGAGGCCCTGCCAGACCTCAGTGACCGCCCACTGTCCCCTGACCCCCAAGCCGAGCTGCAGTTCTACTTGGTGGTGGCCTTGGCCTTGATTTCAGTGCTTTTCCTCCTGGCTGTGATTCTAGCCATCGCTCTTCGACTGCGACACTCCTCCAGCTCCTCTATCTGGGGCTGCTTTCAATCTGGTACTTGTTCTAAGACTAGGCCAGGAGTTTCTCTCAACTATAGCGAGGGGACTCTGCCTTATTCCTACAATCTGTGCGTTGGGCAGACGGGAAAGGCGGAGTTAAATTTCCTGAAATGTAGTGCACCTTTGCCTTCTGCTGAAGACATAGTTTGCACTGGTTCTCCGGGCTCTTTAATTCCACTTCACGTTGGGGATGATTTGACAACACATGCTGAGACTCTAACATCGGTAAGTTTCGTTTTATTCCTTAATAATCCTAGTTTCTCTTATTTCCGCTGTAGCAACTTCGTTTTCCTATGTAGGTTCCTATTTGTATGAAGATCGGTATAACTGCCACCCTGTCTTCTCAATGACGAAATAGTTTATCCTTAAGTGGGGGTGGGGGTGGGGTGGAGATTCCTTATGAACCTCCCGGTTGACAAGCAAAAGCAGTAACTTGGGGGTGGAGAGGCGGCTCAGGGGTAAAGAACTCCTGTTCTTGCAGAGGAACTGCTTCCATTCCCAGCACCTGTAGTGGCTCACATCCATATAGCATTGTATGTAGTCACAGGGGATTGGGGAATCTGACACCACACCGTCTTCTGACTTTCTCAGGCCCCAGCCATGCATGTGGTGCACATACATGTATGAGGACCAAACACTGATATACATAAAATAATTTTTAAAGCAGTAGTCTTTGCGTCTAGCTAAATAAATGAGTAACCTACCCAAACTTGCTACTTAAATTAATTTATGCATCTGATTTATCTGTTTTAATGTCTAACATGTTAAAGCATGCAGAACTATCAGATCCGTGTCCCCTTCCAGGGAAATGTTCATTGTAAATTATGTCTGTCTCCCACCCCTCCCCCACCCCTCACCCCCACCCCTTCTCCACTCCATCCCACCCCACCCACCCACCCCACCCCCGCCTCCGTGTCTCCATTGTATTTCCTACCCATGCGCACTTGGGAGGTGATTGGACAACAGCTAACCCACCTTCCTACTTCTGTTCAGTGATAGGTGTTTCTCTTGGGAGGTGACCTGAAGCTCACATTCCTAAAGTTTTGTGGTCCCCAGAAGTTAATATAACCGCCCTAGAGGGATTTTCTCCTCTACTTCTGGTTCCTCTAGCTTTCTTCCATATTATTCCCCTCCCCTCTTCCTGGAACAGCTTTTATGCCTTTTCTCAAGCTCTTCCTCCACATCGAAAGAAACCATTTCCAAGAAAACCATGAGATGTCCTTGCGTCTTTTCTTTCTGTCTCTGTGGTTTAAGGTCTTTGAAAGAAAAAAGATAAATTTATGATTGGATCTGGCCAGTACCTACCTAGAACTCCAATGCTCAGAGGGTAAGCCTGAGTCTCAAAACTCTAACAGAGTATCTGAAGAATGCCACACTGACTGAAACACTTTAAAACAACCCCTTTTCTCTGTAAACCTGACTCCTTCTGGGTGTGGGTAGGTAGGCAAAACTATCGATTCATTTTCCACCTTCTTCACACTACCAGATAAACTGCCTAGAAGACATCGTTAATATTGGTAATATTGCACTGACACAATAAGATACCTGGAATTTTTTAAGAAAAAAAGTACTTATTTAAAATTCTACATCAGGGTTAGGGGTTTAGCTCAAGGGTAGAGCATTTGCCTCACATCGTTTGATTCTCCACACTGTATTCATATACTACATCTTTACTTTTGTTCCTGGTTCCTGAAATGATTGAACATGTTGTGGTAGGCAACTATGCAATTTGTTCCTTTACTTTCTAATTATTTGATTAATTTATTTCTAAATAACCTAATTACATTTCAAAAACAATCCTGTGGAAGGAAAATTAAATTTTAAAAAATCGTTAAGTAGTAATACACTATCTTGATGGCCTCTTACACAATTATAAACTAAACAACAAAGAAAAATCTTTCAAAGTGGATTTTACCAAAAGAGGTATAATTGTCTCCACATGGATGAATACCAAAGTTCTGAGACGTTTTTCAACACAAACAAATGAACATTTATGTTTTGAGTGGGTGTGCTCCTTTTGGAAATAAGTTGCAAATATCAATTTAACTTATTACAGTCCCCAGTAATCTACGAGTAACCTACAAGGACATGGCTCAATGATGGAGAAATTGTCTAGGATCTGTGAAGCCCTGATTTCAATCTCACACCCTCTAAAAAAAAAGAAAAGAAAAGAAAAAAAGAAAAAAGAGAAGGAACAGAGAAATCAAAAGCGTAGTGTAAAATAAAACAACTCAACACAGGTGATTTCTGAATCGGAGGCCAGGCTGGTCTACATAAAAAGTTCTAGGGCGGCCAAAGATACATAATGAAACTCTTAACCAATTTAAAAAAAACAAACAACGGGAGAACCAAAAACAAAAAATAAAACAAAAACTCAACAGAAAGATGCATTTGCGGAGATTTTATATTGGGTGCAGTAACTTATTCCGACTCTGAGTGCCGCTGTTCACCTATGAGCCAGAGCTCACTTGGGATTCTGAGGGTCCAAAGGCTTAAAGCCTCTCAGTTCCTGCAAACCGGCTCCTGGGCTGCAACGAAAATCACCCCGGAATTTTAGGTGCTCCATCTGCGGAAAACTCCTGAAGCCCCAGAAAGAAGAAAAGAACCTGGTGAAACACACAGAGCGCCCAGCGGTTCGGGGAGAGCTCTGAGAGAATTCCGTGGACAGGAGACAATGGCCGCTCAAAGGAATCTCTCAGAGCGCGCCAAACTGATCCTCCTTTTCCTGTGGGTGCCCTGGGAGTCCGCAGCCCGGCAGATCCGCTACTCGGTTCCTGAAGAACTAGAGAAAGGCTCTTTTGTGGGCAACATTTCCAAGGATCTGGGGCTCGAGCCCCGTGAGCTGGCGGAGCGCGGGGTCCGCATCGTCTCTAAAGGTAGGTCGCAGCTTTTCTCTCTGAACCCGCGAGGCGGCAGCTTGGTCACCGCAGGCAGGATAGACCGGGAGGAGCTATGCGCCCAGAGCGCGCCATGTTTCGTGAGCTTTAACATCCTTGTGGAAGACAGGCTGAAACTTTTCGGAATAGAGATAGAGGTAACGGATGTCAATGACAATGCACCACAATTCCAAGCAGAAACTCTGGATGTAAAAATTAATGAAAATGTCGCATCAGGAATGCGTTTTCCCCTCCTGGAAGCTATTGATCCGGATGTGGGTGTGAACTCTCTGCAGAGCTACCAGCTCAGCCCCAATAAGCACTTCTCCCTAGTCGTTCAGAGCCGTGCTAATGGCGTCAAGTATCCGGAGCTAGTGCTGGAGCACGCCCTAGATCGTGAGGAAGAGGCGATTCACCACCTGGTCCTCGTGGCCTCTGACGGAGGTAACCCTCCCAGATCAGGCACCGCCCTCATCACAGTGACTGTCTTTGACACGAATGACAATGCTCCAGTCTTCACCTCCCCTGAATACCGAGTGAATATTCCAGAGAACTTGCCCGTGGGCACTCAGCTGCTAAAGGTGACTGCCACCGACAAAGACGAAGGCGCCAACGGAGAAGTGATGTACTCATTCCGAAAATTACTGGACACACAACTGTTGAAATTCCAACTAGACAAAAACACTGGAGAAATAAAAATATCTGAAAATCTGGATTATGAAGAAATGAGTTTCTACGAAATAGAAATCCAAGCTGAAGATGGAGGGGCCTATCTTGCGACTGCAAAGGTGTTGATTACAGTAGAGGATGTAAATGACAACAGTCCAGAGGTGACCATCACATCACTGTTTAGTCCAGTGGCTGAGGATTCGCCCGCGGGGACTGTCATAGCCCTTTTAAACGTGCATGATTTAGACTCTGGGCAGAATGGAGAAGTAACCTGTACCATCTCAGGGAACCTACCATTTAAATTAGAAAAGTCCATTGACAGTTACTATAGACTAGTGACACAAAGAGCCCTTGATAGGGAACAGGTATCCTCTTACAGCATCACAGCAACAGCCACGGACGGGGGAAACCCACCTTTGTCAAGCAACGTTCATTTCACTCTGCAAGTGGCAGATATCAACGACAACCCACCCACCTTCTCTCACATCTCCTACTTTACCTACATCCCAGAAAACAACCCTAGGGGTGCCTCCGTCTTCTCCCTGACCGCCTTGGATCCCGACAGCAAAGAAAATGCCCAGATTGTTTACTCTCTGGCTGAAGACACCATTGAGGGGGCTCCACTTTCTTCCTACATCTCCATCAACTCCGACACTGGCGTCCTGTATGCTCTCTGCTCCTTTGACTATGAGCAGTTCCGAGAACTGCGGGTGCAGGTGACAGCCAGTGATAGCGGGAAGCCTCCCCTCAGCAGTAACGCATCATTGACCCTGTTCGTGCTGGATCAGAATGACAACTCTCCAGAAATCTTGTACCCCACTCCACCCACTGATGGCTCCACTGGGGTGGAACTGGCTCCCCGCTCAGCGGAGCCGGGCTATTTGGTGACAAAGGTGGTGGCAGTGGACAGAGACTCAGGACAGAACGCCTGGCTGTCCTACCGTCTGCTCAAGGCCAGCGAGCCAGGACTCTTCTCGGTGGGGCTGCACACGGGCGAGGTGCGCACAGCGCGGGCCTTGCTGGAGAGAGAGGCACTCAGGCAAAGTCTGGTGGTGGCTGTGCAGGACCACGGCCAGCCTCCTCTCTCCGCCACGGTCACTTTGACCGTGGCAGTAGCTGACAGCATCCCTGATGTTCTGGCAGACTTGGGCAACCTGGAGACATCGCAGGACTCTGAAACCTCAAGCCTCACCCTTTACCTAGTAGTGGCAGTGGCAGCGGTCTCCTGTGTTTTTCTGGCCTTTGTCATTGTGTTGTTGGCACTCAAACTTCGGCGCTGGCACAAATCTCATGCGCTTCAGTCTTCCAGAGATGGATTGGGTGGTGTGCCTGCGTCTCACTATGTGGGTGTGGACGGGGTGCGTGCTTTCCTGCAGACCTATTCGCACGAGGTTTCTCTCACTGCTGATTCGCGAAAGAGTCACCTGATCTTCCCACAGCCCAACTACGCAGACACGCTCATTAGCCAGGAGAGCTGCGAGAAAAAAGATCCTTTGTCTCTGTTAGATGATTCGAAGTGCCCTGTAGAAGATGCCCCTCTGGTGCCAGTGAGTGTTGATTTTACCTTTTCTTTAAACAATTATGGTCAGATTTACATTTAGGCTTGAATCCAGGTGATGGAAATACTAGATCTCTACTTTAAAACTACTTCTCTCGGTTCCGGCGACACTTGCCTCTCGCTAAAACATTAAAGTGTAGAATATGGTAAAGACTGTTTTGAAAACTGTCAAGGGAATCACCCAGATTGCCATAAGGTTGTTATAAGTAGCTTTGTGTCTTGTGTTGCTGAATGCTAAAAGGGAACTTCATGTCTATTGAGCTATGTGTCCTCCTCACGGGCCATGTGCTATAACCCTGCCACTTTAGACAGCTCTTTTGAAATCAAGTTTGTCAAAATTAGGTAAATGTCAGAAACAAATGCATTAGCCGTGCCAGATGCAGAAGCCAAGTCCAAGGCAGTTCTTTAAGGATGGAGTCAATATGTTGTTGTAGTTATATTTTTCAAACAATACCTGAATATACTCCTTAGAGATTTTAAATTACTAATTGGTATTCAATCAAAAATTCATAACTACATGCTTAGAATCTTTATAACCATAATTATACCCATTATCCCAGTGGCTTTCCTTTGCATACAATTCTGTAACGTTTTGCTATATGAGAGGTACAGCCTTTTAATCTGACTTTCCTTGCCCAACGATGATTCCAAGAATTTATACAGTTAAATCGAGATTTTGGATTCTCTTTGTCTTTTTTCATTCAGAATTAAACATGCCAGCAATTTAAGCTAAAATGTCAATATGGATTGGTGATGGGTAATGTTGTGTGTGTTCCCAAGAACAGAAGCTAAACATGCATGATAAGAACATTTCCTCTTTAATGTAGAAAAAAACTCAGAGGAAACCCAAAAGTTCTGGGACTGAACTTTAAAATAAACTAAGAGCTAAGAGCAAAGAAAGAAATAGCATTCTTCAGGAACTCAGAATTAAGCAAAGATATACACGAAACCCTTCTAAATAAATGGCTTGTAGAGGTATTGGTGAGCACATTTAGATCAAGGAAATAGTGATAATTTGGTTCAATCTTTGAATGTATTATTACTCTGCAGAAGTTACTAGAAAAAGGATTGACCTACCAAGTCTCACAATACATCTGAGGATATGATTGTGACTTTTTTTGTGTCAACACTTAGTTAACTGTAGGTCCATGGAAGGTGAGTGCACACTCTGGAGTTACAATACCATTAACTCATTGAAACATCTTTGTCCCATGAGAGTAATAATTTTATTATATGCTTCAGCTCCATTATTTGAAAAAAAAGCAAGCTTCAATAGCACTCTTTTAATGCTGTAAACATTATATTAAAAATCTTAACAGCAATGCTGAACATCCTGACGACTGAATAGAGCCAGGTTTGCATTCTAAATACGGATGAAAGGGTATTTACTTCTTGACTGACAAAGGCTCTGTTGATGACAAAAGAAATTATCCTCAAAAGGAGTGATAGTCTTTCCTGTGGAGGGATGATTTGGGTAACAGTGGGCCATGGGTTAGGATCTGTGAACCTTCCCCTTTACTTTGTTTCATGCCTTTTTATTTGAAGGAAATAGTCATTCAAACTACCCAACATGAGTATGTTTTTTACAAATTAAACACAATATTTAATATTAAAATTTTCCCCGATGAAAACAAAACCGATGAGGAACAAAATTCAAATCTTTTAGCTATCAACTTGCCCTTATATACGATTCCTCAAAATATGAAACGCCAGACTGCAATTCCAATCAAAGCCTCTGGGCGCCGCTGTCGGCCAGTGCAGCACAAGCTCCCGGGATCCCTCAGTATCTGGGCTGGAATTTCCTGCACTGAAAGGAACACACTCCAAGGGGAACTCTCACTCACAGACACTAAGACACCGATTCCCAGCCCCAAACTGGGGTCCGGCTGTCCAGGGACGAATGCATCTCTGCCTCAGAAGACTGCACTCTCTCCTACTGTGAAGATCCGAAGACCCAGAGAGAACCCGAGCCAGCAATGGGAGGGAGCTGCGCGCAGGGACAGCGCCCTGGCCGCCCGCAGGTACTGTTTACCCTGCTGCTGCCTTTGTTCTGTCCCGCGCTGGGCCAGCTGGTCCGCTACTCCATCCCGGAGGAGCTGGACCGCGGCTCTGTGGTGGGGAACCTCGCCAAGGATCTGGGGCTCGGTGTTCTGGAAGTGTCGTCTCGGAAGCTGAGGGTTAGCGCTGAGAAGCTGCACTTCAGCGTGGACGCGGAGAGAGGGGACTTACTGGTGAAGGACCGCATAGACCGCGAGCAGATATGCAGAGAGAGGAGAAGGTGTGAGCTGCAGTTAGAAGCTGTACTGGAAAACCCCTTGAATATTTTTCATGTCGTGGTAGAGATTGAGGATGTTAACGACCATGCTCCTCAATTCCCCAAAGATGAAATAAACCTAGAAATAAGTGAATCCGTCAACCCAGGGATGAGAACAATTCTGGAATCTGCGAAAGATCCTGATATTGGTGTGAATTCACTGAGCAGATATCAGCTAAGTCCTAACGAGTATTTCTCATTGTTGGTGAAAGACAATCCTGATGGTAGCAAATACCCAGAATTAGAATTGCAAAAGACGCTGGACCGAGAAACGGAGAGCATGCACCAGTTGGTGCTGACAGCTGTAGATGGTGGAGACCCGCCCCGAAGTGGTACCACTCAGCTCCGAATTCGAGTGGTGGATGCCAACGATAACCCTCCAGTGTTCAGTCAAGATGTGTACAGAGTCCGCCTTCGAGAAGATGTACCTCTGGGAACTGCGGTTCTAAGGCTAAGGGCCACGGATCAGGATGAGGGCAGCAATGCAGAGTTCACATACTCCTTCCTGGGTGTGGCTAACAAGGCCCAGCACGTGTTCTCTCTGGATTCTGTAACTGGAGACATTGTAACTCACCAGCCCTTGGATTTTGAAGAAGCAGAAAGATATACGATTGATGTGGAGGTAAAGGACCGAGGATCTCTTTCTTCACAGTGTAAAGTAATTATAGAAGTTCTAGACGAAAACGACAACCGCCCAGAAATAATCATCACTTCCCTCTCTGATCAGATTTTGGAGGATTCTCCTTTTGGAACGGTCGTGGCCCTCTTCAAAGTAAGGGATCGAGATTCTGCAGAAAACGCAGAAGTCACGTGCAGTTTAAGCGTAGACAGTCCATTTAAGATTCATTCTTCTTCCAATAATTACTACAAATTAATAACAGATAGCATCCTAGACCGGGAACAGACCCCGGAGTACAACGTTACTATCACAGCCACAGATAGGGGCAAGCCTCCTCTTTGCTCCAACACAACCATTACTCTGCATGTTGCTGATGTCAACGACAACGCGCCTGTTTTCCAACAGCCCGCTTATCTAGTAAACGTACCAGAAAACAACCAGCCTGGAACCTCCATAACCCAAGTCAAAGCGTGGGATCCAGATCTGGGACCAAATGGTCTCATCTCCTACTCCATCATAGCCAGCGATCTAGAGCCAAGAGCTCTGTCCTCCTACGTGTCGGTGAACCAGGACAGTGGAGTGGTGTTCGCTCAGCGCGCCTTCGACCACGAGCAGCTGCGCTCCTTCCAGCTCACACTGCAGGCGCGCGACCAGGGCTCGCCTCCACTCAGCGCCAACGTGAGCATGCGCGTGCTGGTGGGCGACCGCAACGACAACGCGCCACGCGTGCTGTACCCCACGCTCGAGCCCGACGGCTCCGCGCTCTTCGACATGGTGCCTCGCGCCGCCGAGCCCGGATACCTGGTCACCAAAGTGGTGGCGGTGGACGCAGACTCTGGACATAATGCCTGGCTGTCGTACCACGTGCTGCAGGCCAGCGATCCCGGGCTCTTCAGCCTGGGGCTGCGCACTGGCGAGGTGCGCACAGCGCGTGCCTTGGGCGACAGGGACGCGGCCCGGCAGCGCCTTCTGGTCGCTGTACGGGATGGTGGACAACCGCCTCTCTCTGCCACTGCTACATTGCTCCTGGTTTTCGCAGACAGCCTACAAGAAGCGTTGCCGGACCTTGTCGATCATCCCACCCCTTCTGACTCCCAGAGTGAGCTGCAGTTTTACCTAGTGGTGGCCTTGGCCTCGGTCTCAGTGCTTTTTCTCCTGGCAATAATTTTGGCCATTGCTTTGCGCTTGCGTCAGTCTCCCAGCCCTTCAAACACTGGCTGCTTGGGGTCAGTTCTAGGCTCCAAGTCTCGACCTGTACTTCCACCCAACTACAGTGAAGGGACATTGCCCTATGCCTATAATGTGTGTGTGTCTGGAGAGCAAGCTAAGCCAGACTTTAATTTTCTCACATCTGTTGGTAATTATTCAGCCACACAAGATATTCTCAACAAAGATAGCTCCTCGGCACTGTTGGCTAGTATTTTAACTCCTAGTGTTGAAGCAGACGAGAAGATCTTTAACCAGGTATTTAATATTATGCTTTTTATATGCCTGTACGCCAATGTACTCCAATGTAGTACTGCTATTTTAAGGGTTTGGTTTGGTTTTGAGAGATAAGTCTATGTAGTCCTGGTTGTCCTGGGATTCACTGTGTAAACCAGGCTGGCCTATCTGCCCCTGCTTCCTGAGTTCTGGGAATAAGAGGCAAGCCACCTAGTGGGATCTGATTTGAAAGTTAAAGCTCCTATGAGATATCTAGGCCAAACTCATGGGTATCACAGTGTTTGGAAGGGATGTGGGAGTGTGACTCAGTGACAAAATGCATGTGCCTCATCTGGAATATGCCCAGTTCTATCCAGCACACCTAACAAATGGTTTGCAGTGGTTAATTACACTACTATCCAAACATATTTAATTCTTAAAAATTGTTTGAGGGTTGAGAGTGTAGTATGCTCTAGGTCCTGGCTTTTATTACTAATTCTCCTCCCTGTCCTCCTGCCTCTAACACATAGAAGTATATGAAATTAAATGAGAGCCATAATGCTATTTAAAGTTTGAACAAACCATCTGTCTTTATTTTTCTCATTAAAAAAACAAAATAACTTATTAAAAAACAACAGCAACATTAGTGGGGACTGGAGAGGTGGCTTGGTGTTTAAGATCGCTGCTG